TATCCCCATCAAAAGGTAATTTTCAAAATTAAAACTTAGTCATGTACTCACTATATCTTTGCATAAGATTTATGCCAAGGTTTAAATTAATTTACTACTGAAGAGTCAGGAGGGTCACAAGCCTGGTTAGAAGGAGAGCTTGGTTCTGCCACCTGCCTCACAAGCGCAAGGTCCCGAGTTCTATCCCCGGTACCAAAAAAAAAGAAGGAGAGCTTGGGAAACACACACACACACACACACACACACACACACACACACACACACACATGCATGTGCGCACTTGAAGAAAAAGGAGGACAATGATAGTATGCGATGCAGAAATCCTTGATAATACAGAGTAATCACACTATAATTTGGGAGACTGCTTTCTCTAACAAAAACAGTTTTCATCTTATCAGTTTCCCTACCACTTAGCAGCTAAGTTTACAGAGTTTACAGTAGTTAAATCTGATTTTCAAGCAAGTTCAATGGACAGTGCTCTAATATACTATTGAAGAGATGGGTACTCACTTTGGGGCCTTATTTCTAAGTTTTGGACTGTTTTCTTTAATTGTCAATAACTAACCATTCCTTTAAATTGCCTCCATTTCTCTCTTCCTAATTCTTCTCTCTTTCTAACCCACTTTAGTCAGGTAAACGATGTGACATTATGAATCACTTTTTATATTGGAGTGAAATCTGGACAGAATCCTTAAATGACGGGAGATTTGCATGTCCCCAAATCTCCATGGCTAAGAGCCCCTCACAGCTTTCAGGAACCGAGATGTTGGCCACATGTCTTTCTGGCCTGGTTCCTGGCCTTAAAGCTATAAATGGCTAACAACAGGGCTGCAAACCTCTCCTCCCATCTCTCCTCACCCAATCGGCTACAAACAAGCCAATCAGTTACAAATGACCTGTGATGGAGACCAGATCCATATGGAAAACAGCTGGCTAACAAGAATTTATCTGCTAAATTCCAAACAGGCAAGGGCCCTCAGAGACTTAGGTCCCCAGTGCAGCAAGGAAACTAACATAGAAACCTTCATTTGTACAACCCCAAAATTGCAAGCATCCCAAATCAAGTGTTCAGGCATCTGGGATTGACAGCTTCCTGACACAAAGCCATCAGGTAAATTGTGATACTTGCTAGCTGTCCAATCACATGGAGTTTTGTGAATATGGTAAATAGCCTTGGGGAAACTCATCCAGTGACTGCAGCATCAAGGCAAAGTGTGCAAATGAAGAGAACTACAAGTATTTTATTGAGCTTTAATGCCACAGTAAACCTTGTTTGTGAAAACTCCTCACTGTAATAAGCTCACCACTCTATCAAATAGCATTTTCTTCATATATAATCCCTCACTGAAAGTGTGGACATCTAAACAGATGATTTACTGTGTGAGTCAGCCCATCTGGAATGCTAAAGATGCAAGTACATAAAACAAGTAAATGCTGAGGCTTACCTGTAGGACAGATACTGTGGAAGCTTCCATTCTGTTCAAACACAGTGATGGAGGAAGGGCCATTGGCCCTGTCACACTAATGAACATGGACCTCAAACAAATTTCAGCATAGGGATTAAAATGTCATTCTCTCGTACAAACTTTTTACCTAGCACCTACACACTTCAAGGACCCCAAAGTGACTTTTTGTACTCTACTGGGTATGGATGCAGAGGGAGTTTGGATTAGTCATTTGCACATTAGTGAGGATGAATAATGATGATATCATTTGTGAGAAGCACGTAAATGATAACTTTACCTAATCCACATTGTGGAGCAGAGTGGTAATGGGGCTTATTAATGAGGGCTCAATTTGTTTTTCTCTAAAAAGAAAAAAGAACATTTGAGTAACCATTTCTCTTAACTTGAAATCAGTGCATCCTTAAATCTGTTAATAAAATACACCTCTGAGTGCCCAGTAGAAACTCACAGCCTCACTAAAGAAGGTGTGACCATAAATGCAGGAAGGTGCTAGGCAGAACATTCTCTGGAGTTTGGTCCTTGGTTTAGGTGAGGGAGTAGATGTAGACCCTAGAAGGCAGTTTGGTAGAGTTAAAGGTGTTCTGACTTTGGAGTGGAAGATTTGCATTTCCTGTTTTAGCTGCATCTAAGGGATCCATGAGGTCTTCTGTAACTTCTAGGCCCTCTTAGGCCTATTTCTTCATGGACAAAATGTGCATATCCTCTCCTATACAAATCCTTTTCACTGTAGCTCTAGACTTTGGAGGCATAGTCAACCTATAGATGCAGTGCATCATGTGTCTAGAAGTGAAAGCGACCAAGCTTCATTGAGTTGCTTTTGCCCTGTCTCACACCCAGCTCGCTGGGAGTTGGTCAGAGTCATATCAGATAGTAAGAACCATTTCCAAAAGATCACTTAGGCTAAGCAGAACATTTCCCTAGTGATGTGGGCTGTCAAATACTGAGCACTGGTGGCTGTGTTCTGGGGTCCAGGTTTGAACCCTGGCTCTGGCCATTATTAGCTTTGTGATGCTGGCAACTGTCTTGAACTCTCTGAATTCTTTTAAGATTGTTTTGAAGGTTGAAGAAGACAATGTACATAAAAGACCACACATGGCACTTGATCAGTGCTTGATCAGTACCTAGGACTTGCTATTATATAGTTCACAGCCAGTTTTAGGGTTCCTACTATGTGTTAAATGAAGAATAAGTCATTGTCTCTAGAGTGAAAGAATCTCAGTTTAGACAGAGAGAGGACAGATAAGTGGACAATTACAGCACACTATGCAAATTCATAGCCCAGAAGTGAGCCTACAGTGCCATGGGAACACACAGAAAGGCCATCCAGCCTGACCTCAGGACACCAGAAGCTTCCTGGAGGAGCTGGCATTGTCTCTGGAACAGAGCAGGACCAGGCACTGGATAATTCTGGCTGGGCAAACAAAGCTGTCTGAACTTCTTTGAGGCTATTTTCCTGCTGGTGGATGGTAGGATTCAAGGCCCCACAGACTCTGAAGACATTCTTTCATTCCTCATGTCCCAAATGTTGGGGAGAACATATCAGGAGAAATCATGCTGTGAGTGTGTGTGTGTGTGTGTGTGTGTGTCTAAAACAGTTTTTCCAAGAGAAATAATTCAATCTGCCAAGGATGTTAATTGTTACCCTTTATAAAGTCCAAGCAGAGAAATTACCTGTAATTTCTTTTCCATGGTTTCATCTTTTCCTTAGTTCTTATTACCATCATTATCATCATTGTCACCATCTTCATCATTATTATTGTGATCTATATCAGGTGCTTTATCAGGGAACAAGGAGTGGGCAAAGCCAGAGCTTGGGATGAGAAGTCACAGTGGAAAGGATTGTGACTCTCTGTGAAAGACAGAGAGAACATTATATGGTGCTCCTCTCCCTATCCTCATTCCCTAAGCCTCCTCCTCCCATTTATATCATGAGCTTTTCATTCTTAGCCAAGCACTGAGGGTTAAACAGCTTGGATTCTACCATCAATGCTACCACTAGAATTCACTCTATATCCACACTAGAGCCAACCTTTCATGTGTCCCTCATAGAACAAACATCCCGGGGTGTCTGCTGATGTCAGACCCTAAACATTAATCTATTTGCATCCTGTCTTGCCAATCAATTAGACCCACAATCTAGTGTGTTATCTAGAGACTTCCTTAATGTCCAGCAATAATTGCACAGTAATTATTTAAATGACTCTTTCCAGGTATTAGGACCTATCAATGAAAGCAGATGGTGAGAGTGGAGCTATAAAAAAGTGTCCTCTGTCTTCCTATTTCATATTATCTATCATACATTTTGATCCTTATTTACACCTTCAGTTTCTCACACCAAAGAAACTATTTGGTATTTATACATGTGTGTCCTACTTATTTTCACTTGAGTACCACCTCAATGTGCATCTATTTAGCTATAAATGTTTCTAGTTTCTCATTATTTATGGCTGGTAGTACTCCATTTTATGAAAAACAACAACAACAACACATCTTCTTTATCCAATCACCAGTTGATGGGCAATTGGGCTGTTTCCAAGTTTTAGCTATTAAAACTGTGCTGCTATAAACATGGGTGCACATATATCACTGTGGTTTGATTCTTTTTATTCTTTTGGAAAGATACCCAGCAGGGGAATAGCTGGGTCAAATGGGACCTCTAATCCAGGATTTTTGAAGTATCTCCATATTATTCCACAGTGGTTGCACCAGTCTGCACTCCCACCAATAATGAAGAAGGGTTCCTTTCTCCCCACCCCCTGCCAGCTTTTGTTATTGGTTGATTTCATGATAGCAGCCATTCTTTCTGGGGTGAGGTGGAATCTCAGTGTTGTTTTCATTTGCATCTCTTGAATGACCAGTGATGTTGAACATTTTTTCATATGTTCATTTGCTGTTTCTACTTCTTTGCCTGAGAAATGTTTGTTCATTTCAGATGCCCATTTTTGGATTGTGTCTTTATATTTGGGAGGTCTGATGTTTTAAATTTCTTTATATATAATGGGAGGGATAGGGGAAGGAAAAAGAATAAATACAAGAAAAGGAAAAAAAGGAAACAAAGTCTTTATAAATAGGGAGGGGTGGAGGGGTGGAAAGGAGGGAAAGGGAATGGGGAAAAAAATAAGAACCAAGATATATAATGTAAAGGTAGAAATTCCCAATGATGAATGTCATCATATTATATACCTAAAATGTACCAGTAAGCTTAATGAATTAAAATTTATATATAAAAAAGTGTCCTCTGCCTGTTAGCACATCCTCCAACTATTAGAGACATGGTAAGCAATTCCATATAGCTAGGACAGGGGCAGACCAATAGACATATTCTCCAACTTTTGTCACCAAGGTGCTCACAACTAGCAAGTCTTGGTTCAGTATTCTTCCACCTGGTTCATTTTGAGGTAAGGGTCTTGCCTGGTCCACAGGATAGGGCTTGGGGGGGAATACCAGTGCCTTCACAGAGGGCTGGTAGGTCACAAGGGACTAATCCATCACATGTCTCCTTCAGCCATGCCTCTCTTACTCTGTTTCCTCCAGAAGTGGCCAGGCTGACCTTGCAGCCATATACCATGAGCGCATCGATGTGGAAGGCCACCACTATGGCCCTTCCTCACCTCAGAGAAAAGACGCCCTCAGAGCTGTGGACACTGTCCTGAAGTACATGACACAGTGGATCCAGGTGACTTAAATCAAGGACAACTAGCCTGCCATTCTCTCCTGTCACGCTTGTGTTTCTCCTTGACTGCTACTCCCCTCATCACCTTTCTTCTCACTAGACCAGTGCAAGGCTGTTTCTTGTTCATGCAACACTCTCAGAGGCACCAAGAGACACCTTGTCCCACAGCCTGGCCAGGGGGATTGAAATGACCTACATGGGCATTATTATCTGACTGAGCTGGCAGGCTGACCCAGTTCTTCAGAATCCTAACAACTTTGCTAACCAGCTTGTTTGGAGATGGGAGTCAGACATGAGGACTGGCTGAGTGACTGACTAAATGCAAGTTTGTGTTTCTTTGTTATTTTGTTTTCATTTTACTCTATTTCATATTTTACATCTATAATATGAACAAACAGTAGTTATCATACGACCACACAAGTTGGTTGAAAAAGTAAAAGAAAATAAAAACAGGGAGTGTAGTTTGCCAAGGTAAAGTTCTGGTCTTATTTTTCTGCTCATATTGGGATGGAAGGTTTCCCCTCTCCAAAGGGCTTCTGCCATGATTTTGAACTGTCTCATCAAGGCAGATGGTAGATGATTAAATTCAGAATTGAGAAAAGATTTCCTCTAAAATTTGTAGTTTAAAAACACCTTGATATAAGACAGACTCTCTTGGTAGGTGCTGTAGTGACCCTCTTTGTTTTCCCTATAGGAACGTGGCCTGCAGGATGACTTGAACGTCCTCATTTTCTCAGATCACGGAATGACTGACATTTTCTGGATGGACAAAGTGATTGAGCTGAACAAGTACATCAGTCTGAGTGACCTGCAGCAAGCAAAGGACCGAGGGCCTGTCGTGAGCCTGTGGCCAGCCCCCGGGAAACATGCTGAGGTAAGAAATGTCTCGATGGGGTGCTGGGGGCCAAATATACCTCTTGTGCCTCCACTGCCTGTGTTATCCTGTCTGTGTAGTTGTGTAGAGCAATAGTAGGAGCTTAGACTCTAAAGGCAGGTCATCTAGTTTGCCACTCATTTATTCATCCAGCGATCTCATCAAGATATTCATTTTCCCCGACTCTGGTCATCTCTGTAGTGGCATCTATGCCCACTGAATTTTTTTCAGTACGAGGAATTAAACTTAGGGCCTTTGCACTGAGCGACATTCCCAAGCCCTTTGGTATTTTAAGACAGGATTGCTATATTGCCCAGGCTGGACATGCACTTGTGTAGTTCTCTCGCTTCAGCCTCCCAGAGTGCTGGGATTACAGGTGTGTGCCACCACACTCAGCTACCATACTGAATTTATGAAAATCAAATGAGATAAAAGATGACCAATGCTTAGCACATGCCCAACATGTAGAATCGAGCCCTTTTAGAGCTATTTTATTAGCCAAAATATAGTACTGGTTAGGCAAATAAGGAGACCATCAGAGGCAGACTCTGAATGTTCTTTCTCTGCAAAGAAGCAGCCAGTCTGATTTGTTCCCATGTGGTGTTTTAAGTCGAGCATGCACTGGAGATGTGAGAGTTATGAGTGAATGCAGGGAGCTGAGGCCGTCTGTGCAGTAGGCCAGACACTTATCTCAGGAGCCTTAGCCCTTGTGTTCAAATCCTAGCCCTGTCATCAGCTGGAACTGGAAAGACACCTCCCCTGCCCCTCTGCTTCTTCCCATATATGAGGGGAGTGATCAAATTGCAGCTGTCCCCAGGCTCCTGTAGAACACAAAGAATAGAGCTGGGCCCACTGCACAGACTATGCATGTGTCACTTATTATGACAACCACTAACAAAGGAGAATGTCCCCAGGAGGGTGCGATTGAGTTCTCACAGTGTGGGATGGGAGGAACTCAGCACCCTGGAATAATTAGGCCTCTACTTACCATTCTTGCAAAACAATGATTTTAACTGGCAGGATGTGACAAACCACCTGAAGGAAGTAGGGAGGGACAAGTGGCACCTTACTACTGAGCTTTCAGGCTGCCTCGCCACCTGCCAATACAGGCTCTATAACTTCCGCCCATTCCCAGATCTGGACCAGGAAGCAACTTTATTTTCTCAGCGGAGCATAATCTTCGGGTGGTGGAGGTTGCCAACCACTGGGGAGCCAGGAAGAGGCCACCGTCCATCCTCATGGACACTTGTCATTGTCGATGGACCCCTGGTGGAGGCCGAGTTCTATCTCTGGGCCAAGAAGAAACCTATACCCCACCCCTGGCTGCTGTCATATAAGAGCCATGTTCTTGCCACTGTCCTCAGGGAGACACTTCTTTCTTCTCAGGCTCCATAGTCAGAAAGTGGAGGTGCGGAAAATATTTACACAATATCCCCTTGGACTCAACTAAAAATGAAATCAGAACATGTTGGCAGCTTCACGAGAAGTTCTGTTTTCCTGGCAAGGAAGACCATCTTCGTCTCCAACTTGGCACGGAGGGTTGTGCCATCTCCAGAATGCCTGGGCACCTGCAGCCCACAAGCTAGGAAGAGCTTCTTCCAATGTGATGTTTAAGTCAAGCATCGCTGGCAGACTACAGCAATTGGTAGATTATTCAAAAGAGGGGGCTCTGTTTGGGTGACAGTTTGTCACATGAAGGACACAACAGTTTGCGAGACCTGTTGTGTTTTCATCAGACTTTTCGTGTATCCAAAATCTTCCTGCAAATGCACCCTACTTGCCTTAAGAACTCTGGATTTTCTGAAGAGGGAAATCTTAACTCATTGGGCTCATGAGAAATGTCCTACTGAACAATCTAAAGACAAATTATTTTTCAGAGTCAACTTAACAAATTCAATTTCATTTTCAGTTTTACCTAAGACTATGATTTGGCTAAAGGCCAGCAAGTCAATTGCAACCAGTTGGTTTTCATTTTAGCTGTAAATGTTTAAGTGGCTGCTAAATGTGAGAAGTATGTACAAAGTTTACATCTTTGTCAAAAAATTAACGATATAGTCAATAAACAATTGCTAGTACTTTTAAGACTCACGTGGAGGTAGGGCATAGTCTCTAAGTCAAGTTAAAGAATGCCCTTTTTCTTTGACCTTTGTGGTATTGAACATAAGGCAGGCCAATTTCTCATTTGATTTTTAATTTCAGTAGATAAACTTTGACATAAATACATTTCTGCAATATGTTAATTAGTTATTGAATATATACATAAGAATTATTGTAACATTTGTGAGGTATGAAGGATAATGTAGTAACAGTCACCTGATATTCACTAAAAAGGGAAGAAGTACAACATTGCCATAATCTGTGACCTCTTCTGCATGTCCTTTGAGAACCCCATAATCTTTTCTGCCATCTCTGAAAAACACACTGTCCTAAATTTTAAGTTTTAATTTTCTTAATTCTCCTTAAGTTTTACCATATATATTGTTTTGTTTTGTATTTACTTGAACTTTATATGATAGTAATAGTTCTGTCTGAATTTTTCAGTAATTTACTTTACTTTTCCTCCACCAGAGATCTCTAAGATCTTCCATATGCCTTTATACTTGTGATCCACTCATCTTCACTGTAGTATAGCATTCCACTGAAGAATCCCTCCAGTATTTCTTTACACCTTCCACTGATGCTGGGCATCTGGGCTGTTCGGTATGTCTACAGGTGCATATGTGTGAGAGGTTCCTAGAGGTTCACTTCTCAGGTCAGAAGATATGTGAATCTTCCGCCTTAGGATAAAGCCAACTTGTTTTCTAAGCTATGCAAAAGTCACTTTTTTATAGTCAAATCTATCAGATGTTTGGTAATTTCATTCTTTAGTCTTATACACTCCCCTATCCCCAAGTCCTGCAAATATTCAATATGCATTTTTTAAAAAGAGTGCAAAATTGGTCATTCTTGGTTTTCTTTGCAGATTTATAACAAATTGAGCAGAGTGGAACACATGACTGTCTACGAGAAAGAAGCCATACCAAGCAGATTCTATTACAAGAAAGGGAAATTTGTCTCTCCTTTGACTTTAGTGGCAGATGAGGGGTGGTTCATATCAGAGGTAATTTTAAAATCTTTGACAATTTGTTCATTTTACAAACTCCAAAGTCCAAAGACAAATAATAACTATTCAGCTTCTATACCTAGGAGATATTTTTCACCTAGGTGTCATTTACTGCATTGTTTCCTTCTTTAGGAAATCAAAAAGGCTTGATCAGGTAGCTTTGTAGACACAAACCCAGAGTCACGGTTTAGACTTCATGGCTCCAGACTCCCTGTATTTCAACAAATGGACCTTAACTCATTTACCTAGACTTACAGTGGAACCTGCTCAATTGAAAGCGGAACAATTACTGTGAACCAAAGTATTTGCTTTAGGGCAATGAAAAGCAAGGAGAGGCTCTACTTTGCTTTCACCTCTAAGAGAAATGTTTGGCAAACAGAACTCCATAGATCCAAGTCCTCAGTTTGCCAGCTTGATTTTACAGAGGAGATCACCTTGCATTTCTGGCCTGAGCCCTAATTGCCTCAGGCCTGGATAACTCCACAGCCTCCTCTATGTCTGCCTGGACTCTGAGCTCACTGGGCCCTTGAATCTTATGACTTGGAGCCAACACAGAAGGTGGCCCCTCCAGGGGAATTGGTCCTCATGCCAGGTCCAGAATCTATTCCTGAAGAGGCCATGGGTTATTGTAGATGTGAGTTTCAAGGTGAGCTGTTCTTAGATCTGACTACAGGGCAAAAAAGTAAATAAATAAAAAGAGTGGCAGATAAGAGTAGTTGGTTGAGGCCAACGTGTGTAAGACCTAAGACTAGTAAGTAACCCACCAGACAGAGAGCCAGTAGTAATCCTTCAGCAGCAAACTGTGCCTCCTTCTGCCGTGAGACCTCCTAGAACCAAAAGGCTTCTCTTCACTTGGTTGTTGTGCTCAAAGCTCACCTGGAGTGAGATTATTCAGGCTCCTGCAGTGCTGCTTAACATGGTTTCCTGAGGGTCTCGCATTGAACACACAGGAGTCTCTCAGGCCACCTGGGCAGATCCCTCTCCTACTCGGTTCCCTAAAGCCAGCCTTCCAAGTCCAACAGAAAGCTTGCTGTTTGAATTTTGTTCATTTCATAATATCCTAGTGGAATTACATTTAATCTTTAAAGGTAACTAGATTATGAGGATTAAACCACAGGTAGTTGCCACTCCTGTCTGGTGTGATTATGTGCATCTGTTGTTTGCTTTCTCAGGTTTAGCTAAAGTCAACTGTACCAACAGTTGATTCCTGGCAGGAAGGGAGATGATAAAATACAGTGTGATTTGGGGTATTTTGGTGGGAACCAGGCTTAGGTAAGGGATGGTGAGCCAGAGGCCACTCATGAAGGTGCTGGACCACTGGTGAAGAGCCCTATCCACTCCAGTAGGAAAGGCCCTGGGTTGCTCCAAGAGGGTGGGCCAGGTGCTGGTGAAGCTGCTCTAGAAGCATCCGCAGTCACCTCAGCAGTGGCACGTGCAGCGAGACGAACAGCTTTCCACAGAGTGACCAAAACCAGTGACAGGAGACCTAGGGGTATTGATTAAGATGCTCTTGAATATGAGTCATAGACCAAACAATGGCTTAAATATTCAAGATCTACTATCTCACTTAACTAGTGGTCTGGAGATAGGCAGTTCCAGGGCAGCTTAATCGAGCGTTTTAATGATAGCAAGTCCCGGAGTCAGCTGTATAGCAATTCATTTGCCAGTTCTTTTAAAGTCACAAAATGGCTGCTGCAGCTCCAAACATTACATCCCCTCAGAACATCTCAAAGCAGGAAATGTTTGCATTTATCTGCGTAAGTTTCCTACTTTAATCTGGAAGCAAGATATGTACCTTAGGTTAGAAGCTATATACCTTGGAATACAAGCATGTTTTGTGGCGCGCTTCAGATTATGAACTTTGGATAAAGAAGGATTTCTCTTTACGAAAGAAATAATAATTGTGAAGGCAGAATTAGGGACTTAGATGAAGCCCACAGACCTGAGAAATGCTGATGCTTCAATGTCTTGACCATACTGCATATCTGCTTCTGCCCAGAAACTTACCCATGAGCAAGCTCCACTTAGGTCTCATCAACAAAGTGGAGAGTGCAGCTAGGGAACCTCTGAGGTGGGTAGGCTTTGGTGCTAAGATCTGGAACTGCAATGAAAGGCAGACCAGGGAGCTGCAGTCACAGGCAGAAGAGGTGCAGAGGCTGGGAGTCAGGCAGACAGGGCCCCTGGGACACAGAGTGGCCAAAAAGAAGAGGTGAGAGAGAGCAAGGAAAGCCGCCCCATCTGTCACATCCAGACACCATGGCCTCTCCGAAGGGCCAGTGACCAGGCTGGGGCTGGGGCACCCTCTGCCTCAGCTCTGTTTCCAGCTGTCCCGCCAATCCGCCTCACCCATCCGCTGCACACCTTCCTCCCATTCCTCTTCTGCAGGAACCTGGCAGATTCCTGTCTTCTGTGGGTGAAGCCACACGGCGATTGTGCATAGCAGGTTTTATATTACTTTTGTGTGTGATGCATGCACCCATATGTTCATCTGAGTAAATCAAAACGGATAGTAAATCAGTTAGTGAGAACTGATATTTATTTCATTCTATAGCTTAGGAAGGGGCCAACCCCACAGGACAGAAAGGAAGGCTGTCCAACCCCTGACAATCAGGAAAGCAGCTTTTAAAGTATCTAATTATTTTCAAAAGGGAACCTTGAAATAATTTCAAAGATATGTGAAACGTAAAGTGAAAGAAAGAAAGGGGGGAAAGAAGGGAGGGAATAAAGAAGGAAGGGAGGGAGGGAGGGAGGGAGAGAGGGAGAACCTCGCATGGTGGTAATCCCAGAGGAAAGATGATTGCAAATTTGAGCCCATCCTAGGCAATTTAGAGACCCTATCTCAAAACAAAAAAATAAGAAAGAAAAATAAAGGGCTGGGGGTGTGGTTCAGTGCAAAGGCCCTGGGCTCCATCCCCAATACCACAAAAGAAAAAGAAAAGGAGAGGAGAGGAGAGAAGCAGAGGGAAGGAGAAAGGAGGGGAGGGGAGGGGAGGGGAAGCTGACATCATGAAATTGAGATGCGCAAAGTAAGATTAGTTCTGAAAGATCAGTATTCACTCATTGATCAGAGACTATCCATGGCATCTCATACACTTTACTTTCTACTATTTGAAAAAAACGACTACATGTTTGCAATACATAATAGTCACCTTCATTGCAGAGAGTTGGTACATGTACATAACACACTTTCATTTTTTAAATTCCCCTTCTCTCTCTCACCCCTCCCTCCATCTCCTGGTCTCCTATTTGCAAAAGATCTATCTTCCTATTTCCTATCATCTATCTTTTACTTTTTTCTTTCAATTATTTATACTTTTGTTTTTTCATATAAGAGAAGCCACTCAATACTGAAGCTCATCTCATGCCCGAGTTAGTAATGATGAGTACTGCAAAGCCAGGCTCCACTGATCCAGCCCAAAGCATTAGAAATTTCACAATGACTCCTTCCTCAACATTTTGATGACTTGCACATGGAGTTATTTTACATTTTGCACATAAGAAATGTATCAAAAGTGTTTTCTCTTTAAATTATGTTCAGTAATAACAATAAGAATAATAACAGCTATCTTGAATTAAGTACCTCCTGGTTAGTAGTTCTAGTTCCTCAATGACTCTGCACTGTGAATATTGTTAATTGGGAAAATAACATAGCGCAACATAAAATGGAACACAAATGTGGTTCAGAGCTTCCTAGTAGCCAACCCAGAGAAAAAAGCACAATCAATTTTATTAATTTAACTTATGGTATCTATAACATATGAACACAATATTTTTCTAGACAATCATAATTGTCCCCAAGTCCTTTTTAATCTTTCCTTTTTGTACTTTAGTTTCCTAGGTTGAATATCTTGAATTTATACCTTTAGTTCTATTCTTGAATTTATGCCTTTTTACTTTTAAAACAGCATATGTAAAACTTATAATTTCTGATTCAACTTTAATATAACATTGGGGATTTATTTCTTTGTTTTCTGAAAAATCCTAAAAGCAAGTGCCCATTCTTCCTTACTGGCTTAGACATTTTTTTCTGCACAGTTCTATTGTTTATCATACTTTCTTGACTATAATAAATTGAAAACTGCATTCTATATCCTTGTTCCTGCTCTGTGCCAGGGCTATTAATCTCTCACATTCTTATTTGCAAAATTCTTCCCCAAATCGTAAAAAACATTGTGTTTTGCTCTCTAAACTACATACCATCCGCAGTACTTGTGATGATGATCTTGTGCTGGGTCGTACTTCATATCTGCAGCAGGGCAAAGCTCTCAGCCCTAAGAGCAATCCCTCTGGGTCTGGGTTTGAAAGGCAGATGAGTCTGATTCTGGTTTGGACATGATCAGGAAAACAGCTGAGTCAAGACAAATTGATGCTGGGTAGGAGCCAGTTCTACTTCCCTCACCCTTTCTCCCCACAGCTACCATCCCATAAATGAGTGTGATTCTCCTTCTTTGGTGAAAATGTCATTCTCATATAAATGCCAACTTGCTGTCACCAATTTAAGTTTTGCAGATTCAGAGGTAGCTGCTTTAACAGGAAGACTTAACCACGTTCATTTCTTATGGCCACTGAGAGAGCTGTCACTGAAAAGGATAAAGACTGGGAAGCAGGTTTAATTTGTCACCTGGAAGTGCACCAGTATCCAGTGTGACTGCAGGCACTGCCCTAGGAAAGCAAGCTTCCCATCTAGCAACTTCAGTTTACTTCTGTCCCAGCACAATTTAATAAGCAGGTGGGATTTTCAACAGCTGTCAGTCCTTCCTCTGGCCTCCCTCTCTGAAAAGGCAAGAAATTGAAGGTGTTTATGTTTGAAGAGGATTAGCCATGAACAGGAAACAACAACAATAACCAACAACAGGGAACCAAAACCAGGCTACAGACAGAAGTCAAGCCCAAGCCAGCTGCCTCAGCCAAATTCTTTTCTGCAGAGATAGGAAATGGGGTTCCTAACTGATGCCCCAAGACCCAGTCACTTCCTCTGGAAAGCTTCTTCATTGCTT